TGTACCTTCCTAAAAGTTTTATGATGCTCTGCTTAATAGCTACTTAAGGACAGATGTACTGAAGTTATATTTTACTGTGATCTGTGTAAAGGTGTCAGTTAGTCTGTAAAGTGAATATTTGCTATGTAACTTTTAATTACAAACTAGTGAGAATGACTCAGCAATTGAATTTTTCATTAGCTCCCATCTAAACTTCTGATTGCCAGCTTCATTTTGAGGTTAGCATTTGGTGCCTCATAAATAGATAAAAACTGATATGATAATTGTGCTAAGACTGGTTAGCCAAGGTGGTGGAAAAGATTAGGCTACATTAGAATAACCTAAATTAATTTCTGCATTTGCAGGTTCAACTTTGAATGGCATTATTGCCAGCTTAATTTAGGATGGGATGCATTGTGTGGTATCAGAGGCTGATTAAAGTCCTAAAGCCATATTTCCTTTTATTTCATATTTCCTTTTATCTTAATTGAGTTGGATTGAGGCCTCAGCTGTTTTGTTGTTTGGTTTTGTTTGGGTTATCTGTTCCCCTGTGCTGCCAGCAGGAGGTTGGTTAAATGCTAAGTAATGGTTAGAACCTTAGGAGCAGTGAGTTGATGTTGATTGCAGCAGCACCAAGCCCGGAATCTAAAAGTGTTTTATCTGTCCCTAAATCATGGCAGGTAACCATGGCAATCATAGCATTTCCAAAAGCTCCTGGAAAATATTTGAAGCATCTTAAGTGAGCTGTCCCATTAATAATGAAGAATATCAGTGTTTCACCATCTGTTCCATACTAGCAGTGTGTATAAAAGACCAGCAGTTGTGTGAAACAATTTAAACTGCAAGTGGGAATGAACTTGGCTTGTAATGAAAAACTGCAAAAGAACATGATAGAAAATATGGTGCATCAAGACTCTGCTTCTTGGTTTTACACCTTAACATCACCTTCTAATATATGTTGAGAGTCTATAACTTTTCCATTATCTATTAAAATGTTTAGATATTTGTAATTTGATACTAGCATTTTGCTATGGGCAGAAGAGATGTGGCAAATTATCAGTCAAAAAGAAGCTCATGCAACATTTTGGGAGACATGAATTGCAGATTAAAAATATTTTACCAGATGTGTTTTGATGCTTCTGTAATCTGAAGGAGTTTTTTTGTTTGTTAACTGAAATTTTGTGGTCTCTTAATCAAAACTCTGTGCTCTTGAACTGTAGGCTAGTAAATTACTTTCTGCACTGTAGTTAGTGCAGAAACAGTAGCACCTTTAATTTTTAGAAAATATGCCTAAAAAACTTCATTGAAAAAGTGTGTCTTTATTTAAGTACTGCTGCTTTATCTTTCTGTGTATGTATTTGTTTCCCTAAAAATGAAACAATGAAATCTAACCTTGAATAATGTGAGAATGCAAAGGTTTCTTGCAAATATATTGATAATTTTAACAAAATTACTTTGTCCTCAAAGTACATTTCACATCAAGTGTATGTAAATGTGTATATTGAACCTTAGGGAAAGATCTTTGCTGTTTTCTGTGCGAGTACAAATGCAAATGTAGGCTTGTATCAACTCATACAATCACCAAAGACATGTACTAAAAGTAGGAGGTGGGTGTCACTGATACAAACCCACAGCAAAAAATTTCTCTGTATTTTTTCCTTGTAAATAAAAGTAGGTGTTTGTTTACGAGTTGGAATGTAAAACTACCTAGATTTCTGCTGTGGATAATTGGGCCCAATGAAAAGAAAGTTATAGGTACCTTTTTATAATTTAAGACTGAAAAAATTGGCCAGGCTTTGAGCCAGTTGTGTTTTTCTGTTACCAGTTGTTCTGTTTACTATATTGTGACAAAAACTCTTTATACTGCAACAGCTTGGCAGTAACAGCTCTGTGCTTCAGTCTTTGCTCTGAGTAGCCAACCTGCTGTTGCAAAATGCACGTTTAATGATAAAGTGCAGACCTGGAGCTGAATCATTTTGACCTTGCTTTACATTGGTGAGGACAGCAAGCCTTACTACATGGTAGGGAATATTTCATGGTAGATTGCTTGGTGTTTGTTTTACAGATCAAATTCATGTCAGAGTAAAAGAACATTTTTAACTCTTTCCAGGCTGGGTTTTTATTTCTGTGGCGTTGTGCCTTTTTCTTGGACAAATGGCAGAAAAATAGCCATGTTATGAGCATTAATTTGTTCAGCTGTAAACAGCAAAAAGTACCTTCCCTAAGCATGTCCTGCCAGTCTTAATTAGAAAAGTCCTTTGTGACATTGTTTTCTGTAGTCAAGGAGACTCTTTAGAGTGACATAAGGGATGGAAAGTACCTACATTCAGCATTTGGCTCCTGTGTCTATAACAGAAGTCCTTCCTGAGAAAGATGTTTTTTGTTAAACACATTAGCAGTACAGAAGTAATACTAAAGGAATGCAACTTCTGCTTAAGAGAAAACTTAAACATAATTGAAATAATTTCAGAATTGAAAATACTGTTGTTGAAGATTTGTGACCAAAAAAACTTCAGAACTAAAAAAGTTGCTGAATGTGGTATTTAACAATGGAGATTTTATTGTGAAAACATAACTGACAGAAGCTATGGAATAGAATGAACAAGTGCAGTGAGGGCGAGGCAGCTCTGGGAGGGCTCTGAGCTGGGAATGGCTCCTGGAGCAAAGCAGGATTGTCCTGCCATGGCATAGCCAAGGAGGACTCCAACTGAAAGGGGCTCAGGTGCCAAATGTCCCCTCTGCTCATGTGGTTAAAGCTTCCTCAACCATCTCCCACAAACTTTTTCTTCTTCCCAGACATCTCCCACGAGTCCCTGTCTTGTCTTCATGCCCGTGCAATTGGTGGCAGCAAAGGAGTGTCCTTTCAATGGGGTGATGTGGGGCTTTAAATCCTCAGAGAGGACAGAGGGGAACACAAGGGCTCCTTGAGCCTCACCAAAGAATCCAGTGGGAACAAAGCCTTAGTGAAAAGAAAAAAAGTAATAACACAGGTGCTACTCAATGGTAATTGTTTAATTATTCAATGTTAATTATTCAATGCTAATTGTTTCATTAACATTGAAGACCACATTTATTTATTATTATAGTTCTATTTTATGGTAATATTATGTGTTGTCATGAATTGAAATGTTTGCTTTAATATTCCCAACAGTTTTTCCCCTCCTGCAGCAGGGCAGGGGGCAGGCTCTGCTCTGCTCTGTCCCAGCAGCAGCTGCTCTCAGCTCTGGGAGCTGGGCAGGTGACCCTGCAGAGGGGCTTGGGGGCAGTTCCAACACCACAGCTTTGTTGGTTTAATAAAGGATGAGTTTCAAATCACCTGCAACACAACTGGTATGTTGCTGAAAAAATATGTGACTGATAAAAATGAAATAGCAAAGTATATAATATATAGGGTTTTTTTTATTTTCACTTAGATCTCCACTGAATTAATTTATTTGATTAATGAATACATTAATTGATTTTTCATCACATTACTACATTGAATGAAATATATTAGTGTAGAACTGGAATGTTAAAACAGGACTGGACATCTGTGTAAGTTCAAATATAGAAAACAAAAATAAAATTAATCTGTATATATTTTGGAATTTCATGAATTTAATTAAACAATGTAAGCACTGCTTAAGTTTTTGAAGTCTGTAAGTATGGATGTCTTCAGCAATTTCTTACATCTTACTTTATTATGTCCCTACAATTATGTCTGATTTGTTATTCCTAAAAATAAGCCTGTTCCTGGTAACTTCTAATAAGAGGGAGGAACAGAACAAAGTGTCAGTGAAGGTTCTAGGAATGCTACAGCAAATTCCTCCTGAACTTGAAGGAGGATCCCTGCTTTGATGGTGTTGTTCTGTTCTATCTAGGGAAGCAATAACCTTCAGATTTGCATCCCCTGCATGGCAGCATGGGCTGAACCTTTTCCATACAATGAATTTATTCAGTGTTGTCAAATGTATTTATGGTGTTTTGTTGGCGGCTTGGTTTTTCCCCCCCAAGAAACAAGAATTAATTTCAATGCCTTTTCTTACAGACATAAATAAACAGGTTGGATGGACACATCTTTTAGATAATGGTTGTTTTTGGGAGCTGTAGCTGTCTAATAATAGCTTTGGCTTTGTGCCTGAAGAACATCCTGTGCCATTTAACCCGGGTGAGCTGTGCCAGCCCGCCCGAGACAGAGCATAAAGCATCCAGCACCTGATGGCCCTGTGAGCCTGGGAGAGCTCCCTGTTCCTGGGAAATGTGGCACCTTTAGATTTTAGTCCATGTCATTGTCATCCCTCACAGGGAAAAGGTTTCAATGACATGGAAGTGATGGGATGCCTGGCATCTTGCTGGTTGTGATAAACTTTTCACTTCTAGGTCCATCAGCAGAACTTGGAGTTTATAGAACTATTCTATTTATTTGGGCCAACATAGTATAAAATCCTGGATCTAAAATGCTACAGAAACTTCAGTAAACATTTTAATGAGAGTTGTGATACAATATTGAAAACAAATCTACTATATGAAGACATCATCACAAAATAATTATTAAATAACATAAAAGTGCTGGACAAATACTTGTCCATTCTGGAGTTTGTGTACCCAGCATCTGAAAAGTGTGAACTGGGGAGACTTTGTGGGAGTAAGTCAGCATTTCCTCCTGCAAAGACTGGTGATTCTGGATCTCAAAAAAAATTGCATAAATTTTTATGCCACAGCCTCTGTGCTGCTGTTCTGCTCTGCCTCTCTAAGATTGCAGTGGTTTATGGTCCAGAGAAGACAGATTCTGCCAGGGAGAGGATCTGACATCCTGTCAGTGGATGTTTTTGTGAAACAGATTTTATTAGGATTCATGATTTTCCTTTATCTCTAAGGATAGAGTCAAGGGGGTTTTGCATATTGCCAACATATTTATATAGCCATAATAACAGAGATCTTCAAAGTATAGATTTTTATGCTTACCAGGACTGTTTAGTTACATGATGAAGTTGAGAAACATGTTCTTTGTGCCATTTATATTTTTTCCTCTCTATTTTTAGGATGCAAAGTTTGTGGAAGAGCGACGCAAGCAGCTACAAAATTACCTAAGGAATGTAATGAACAAAATTATTCAAACTGTGCCAGAATTCACAGCCAATCCCAAAAAAGAGACACTTATTCAGCTGATGCCGTTTTTTCTGTAAGTATCTGTCAAGTACTCAAGAAAATATTAATGTTTTTTTCATCACAGATTAATTTAAAATATAATGCTAGCATCTCCAAAATCTTTAAATCAGTGCTTTTTTAAAAATAGAAGGCTCCTGTTCAGATTGCAGGTGCTTTTATTATAGTTAAAGATATATATGAGAAATAGAGTATTTTTTTGTTTATTTAAATGAGATTTTTAATGAAAATCACAGTGTAAAGCTTTCAGAAGTACCTAAATGACTTTAAAACCTGCATCCATACATGCTCTTTAAACATTAGATATTTTCTTTTTTTTTTTTTGGTCTTCCTTAGTTTTGGGGACTTTTTTTCTTCTGTGGGGTTTCTATTATTTTTTAATCTTTGTTTTGGGGGATGGGGGTAGAGCACTATTAGGGTCCTTACTAACCAAATAAAAAAGTCAAGCTGTTGAGCTCTTTTTAGCTGGATTTTGCTGTCTCATGATGCATGTTTGATTTCACTGATGTTCAGGTTGAATATGTCTAGAAATAACTCCACAGTTATCTGTCAAGAATCTCAAACCCTTTGATATGCCATCACACAAGGGGTATAATCTGGTAAAGCTGTCCCTTTTCCCTTTAAACTTATTTCTTCATCTATCTGTAAATATTTAAAACTATTTAGGAAAAATAGTGATGGAATTTTGTTTTTGAAAGTCTTGTTCCTTCACTAGTGATTTTTCAGTGTAATGGTTTGTCACTCCTACACCTGTACAGATTATGTGTAGGTTGAACACTCATTTATGGTAAGTCCTCGTGTGAAATTTGCTGTCCAGGAGCCTCTGCACAGGGATTGTGCATCCATGCCTGTGAACCCATGGGTGGATCCATTTGCAGCTTCAAGACCAATTTCAAATGAATATGTTTCATCACAGCACACATATTTAGTTGTATTATTGCCTGGTCTTTTGCAGAGTGTGTCAGATTTTCAAGTTGAAATTGCATTTCAAGAAAGCTCTATTTATTAGAAAATGTAATAGATGAGTAGAAGAATGCCAAGATGCATCTTGTGGCATTCATGAGTTTCCAATTTTTCTGTGGATTTGAAATCAATTTGATGAGACATCTTGCTGATGATGTTATAAATGGTGAATGTTTGTGGGGAAAACTTCTTAAGAGACTTGCCTGTTGCTCCCTAAGAACTTATTGTCTAGAATTTGACTAAGAGCTGAGAAATGGAGAGATGGAAATGGTTTAAAGTTCCAGTTGAGGTGCCCATGTGTAGCTTTTATTTGAGCAATTTAAAATAATTTATCTTTTATGTTATACTTAGTTTTGCTTTTTAAAGAAGAGGGGGGCAAATACCAAATACATTTGCAATTGTAAAATGTAATTGTAAATGCCATTATACTCCTTCTCCTGTGTTTTTAAAAATCTTAATACATTATTGTTACAGAAGCAGTTTGTTTATTTTTTGTTTCTGAGAAATGACATTTCCAGAACAGTATATTTATAATTTCCTGGCCACTTATGTCTAAAGCAGGAGGGGAGAAAAGTGTCCTCTTACTCCTCAGCCCTAAACAATTGCTTTCTGGTACTTAGTTTTAGCTCTTTTCTAACTTCTTTTAATGAACAGCAACATGAGATCTAAATTCTAAGTAGAATTTAGATCTCATGTTGCTGTTCATTAAAAGAAGTGCCAGGTATGGGGACCTGCACAGGACCAGATTAAAATCACAGTTCCTGTAATGGGTTCTGCCACTGCTGCACAAGTCTGAGTGAGCACCATGTCCCCGTTATAAAACCCTCCAACTCTGTTTCTTCTAGTAAATGTAATGTAGGGAGAGAGTCAATCAATTTCACAGAAAGAGCAAAGATTTATTGAGAGCACATTTAAGTTCCAGTATTCTAGGGGTACAATTTAGTTAGTGAAGCATTGTGTTACAAAATAATGCAGTTATCTCTGAGGAGAGAGACTTGCTGAAAGAAATTGGCCAACACCATTTATCACCCATTCCTAAACACCTCTGTGATGCACTGCACTGCTGCTAACCTTGGTGTGGGTGTTCCACAGGTGGCAAAAAAACTCTTTATTTTTAGAGATTTTTTTTTTATTTGGCAATTTCATAATTCTTAACACATTGCAAGAGACAATGGACTGGAATGTTCTATGATATCTGAACATTATGGCAGAGATTCTGTTCCTACATGTATCTGTGAATTATTTCCTGAGAACTTTTTCTTATATAACAAGTGTATCAGCATTGTCTCTTGGCTAAAGTAGATAGTTTTCTCAGGGAATACTAGTGGGATTCTGGAAAAATTCAGCTGTTGAGCAAAATAACTACATTCCTCATCTACAGCAGCAGACAAAATGGCTTTTTAATGCATTTTACTACTGAGATATGAGACTCTTCTGCAGCTACAGCAGCAGCATTAAATTAATAAAAAGAACCTTTCTAAAATGTGCTCCTTCTATCAGTGTCTGAAAGTGCCATCATTTCTAGGCTATTTGAACTCTCCATGGCCTTTATTATCTGGGAGTCATGACCTGGCACTTCTGGGGGTTTAAAAAGCATCTGAAAGAAAATGCATTTCAGTTCCACTTCAGATTGCCAACTTCTCCAGTACTATCTTTCCATAATGGATTTTGAGCTTCATCAACAAGAGATCTGAAATATCTTGGAGTCTGTGAATTGTTTATTATTTTAATCAGTTGTAACCTTTGTACTGTACTTGCAATTCTTCGATTCTGTTAGGTTTAATGATATTTTACTATAAACCAGTGTAAATACATACAGAAATTCTGATATATTTAATTTTTCTCTGTAGTACAAATGTATGTACAGTTAGTTGCATCTTTGTCAGTGAAGGAGTAATTACAAAACATTGAGTTATTAGTCCTAGTACTGTGCTTTAGGCAGTAGTGGTACCTCAGTCTGGGGAAAAAAATTAGAGTCTTGATATGAATAAAAGATCTCCAGAGCATTAGATCTGTCTGTTAGGATGTGGGGGGAGAGAATGTAAGAAAATAAAGATAGTGCAGAAGGTAATCTGGCCCCTGAGGAGCTGCAGCTGTACTAATGACCAAAGATTAGGAACAGGCCTGCCCTTAACAGGCCACAGCTCTGTCCAGTGAGGGTGAGTGCTATAGAAGAGTGGGGTGGCTGGGTGAGGAGGGAGTTGGAGTTTGTTGGCTGTGCTGTGAGGAAGAAGGAGTCAGTGCTGTGAGGAGATGCCCATGAGAAATCACCAAGAAGGTATGGGAGCTTTGCAGTAAAATGACAACATTAGGAAACAATGAAATGTAAAATAAAAAAAAAAAAATTATTTGATCTTAGAGAGTTTCTTCTCACTGCAGAATTACATGATCAGGCTTCAGTGTGCAGATGAAAAATCCCATTAAGGTTATGTCTGATTAGGCATCCTATGGATAGAAATTACAGGGTCAGTTTTAATTAATCACTTTTAAGACCTGATTGTGGTCTTAAAATATGATTATGGTGAGCAGAACATAAGATTAATATCTCTAAGACTGAATCCACTGTTAATGAATATTGCCAGAAATTTTAATTGTTTGTTCCTTTGGGAATTCCTCCCTTTCAAGTGCAGTGGTCCCATACAATCAGGCATAGATCTGACAAGGAAGAACATTTACATTGATCTGTATGAAACAGCCTGGACTCTTACAGAGGAAGGATTTTTTTTTTTATTTTGAAACGCAGCTAACAGTTTGCAGTACAATGATGCGATGGGTTTGCTACATTTCTTCCCACTGTGGTATCAAATGCTCGTGGTGACTTGTGGAAGTGTCTTGTTCTGAATCCTTGTGCTGTGAACTGTCATTGATGTATTTTTTCTTTTGTCAGTCTCTACCACTTGTAATCTCATTTTGTATCTTTTTCAGTTTTGATTCTGTGTTAGCTCAGTCACAGGACTGGTCAAAGAGTTTCCCTTAGAATCCACTTTCATGTCTTAATATAAAAAATAGATTCTGACTCTGCTAATTTGTCTGTTTACATGCTGAATAAAAAATTCTTTGCAGTAATAAAAATTGACATCAAAAGATAAATTTTCAGTCCATGTAGAGCAGTACCTAAATCAAGAATTGGCACTGCTGAATTGGATTGCTACATCTGCTGGCTGGTGAAGGCCTTCCTGCTAATACTTACTAAATGAACATTTATTTGCACTTATTGGTTCACTATGGATAAACAAAGCTGGTTATAACAAGTGCAGTTGTTTTAATCACATTTTTATCAATAAGAAAAATTATCACACACACTTAGCTCTCAGTAAATATATATAAAACCAGGAGGAATCTTTGGCAACAAGAATCACATTTCTTTGGACCATATAACTGAGTCTTTCAATATAAATCTTTATATAGATTGTATGATTTCAAGTCTGGAAGAAGCTAAAAGCTTTAAAAAGTTGGGAAAAAGAATTCTGAAGTTCTGTGATGGTCCCATTTTCTATCTCTCTGGTTTCTGTATCAATTGTCCTAATTTTGTAGAAGAGATTTTCTTTCCAACGTCCTCATAATGGGCACAAACTGAAATGCAGGGAAAGTAATAAAACCCCTTTTTTCCCCACTGTGAGGGAGATGGAAGCCTCCAGCAGTTTGCCCAGAGGCCGCTGACTCTCCATGCTTGGATTTGGCAGGACCCAGCCCTGGGCAGCCTGTGGGGATTGGCTCAGTGATCGCCATGGGTGCCCTCCAACCTCAAACCTTCTGTACATCAGGAATGTAAGCCTGAGTTGTGTTTTACATCCACCTTGCACAAAGAAGTGTTGGCTAAATTACAGCTGCTCACACAATGTTTGTTACCTGTGAGCAAAGCAAAGTCTGAACATGGGAAGTTCCTAAACACAGAGCCCACTTGGTAGCTGTGCAGAGCTCTTCAATGGGAATAATCCCACTTTGCTGGTTCTTTTGCGTTGGCACTGCAAATGTTTAGATAAAAATGCATGCAAGAATGGTATAAACACAATTTTGTGAAAGTTTTCCTGGACTGCTGTGCTAAATACTTTA